AAATGATAGACAGAGAAAGAGTTACTATTCAAAGTATGTTGTCTCTCTCAACGTTGAAGACATCTTTTCAGCCAAACGCGCAGTCTATATATTATACGTCTATGCCCACAACTCGATCACGAACGTGCAACGCCAATGAGAAACGCGAGCAAGCGGTCCGCGAGACGCGATGGAACGTATTCCCGTTCGCACGAGCGCCGTGATGTCCACCGTTTTTGCGTGCACTTGCGTGAAAACGAACTACATACGCGAGTACGTACATACCTGCGTAGAGTGAATAAAGAGATACCATCTTGATTTGGTTCTGTTCCATGCTAAATGTGCGCGCGCATTCAATTCGATATTTCGAGCGCTTCGATACACTCGGATTGGCGGGCAGTCATGGCGGAGCGGCCGGAATTACGTGCGAATTGTTTCGCGTATCATCGCAATTATCGTCGTCTTCGCGCGGAAATATGAACGTCTCGCGGCAAAGTATCGGGCAATTCGCAGCGATGCGTGATCAGAGCGCATTTGATAAACAATTTGGTCGGCGAACGAATAAAATTGCGAAACGTGCGGGAGAAACAAAGTGGTCAACGCGCAACAAAAATAGCAAATTCGATTACTTGCGCCTACGCTACTGTACTACGATGCGTAAGAAAAGCTGATGTACATAAAGGTATTTACCACAAATATACATAATTAATACATAATTACTGGATGGATGAAGAAATATATTTCATTGTGTGTTACTATGTAACAATCTATGGACCAAGTTTTCAAATCGTATTCCTATTCCAAATTTTAGAACTTTGATAGTGCAAAGCGCGCGTAGATTTGTAGACTTGCTGAATTGTGAAACATCGAGCACATAAATAATTCAATATTTTCCGCAGTTTAGATTTAAAGTTAAGAAAAAAGTATCAATAGAGTAAACCCGGGTAAGATGGCCACAGTTTTCTTTAAATGCAAAAAACAGATCTTTATTTTTGTTATTTTTTAATATTATTTTTTTATTTTACTTCACTGAAGCTTAAAGTAATAATAACTATCGAAATTAAAGAGAAAACACTTAACAGAAATTTAATATTATATAAAATATTAAAATGTATGCATTGGCCATTTTGCCCAACTTTTAAGAGAAAGATGGCCATACATGTTTTTTGTCAAAGATATAAGTAAAACTTATAATTATGTAATTTAATTATATATTTAGTAATTATATGTTAAATACAATATATTTATTGTACGTAAAAGATTATTACATATTATTGTTAACGCACAGTATTTTTTTAATTACGAAACGCAACTTTATGTGAACTATAAAAACAATTAACAAAACATTTTTATTTCGATGATTAAATACATTGTAGATTATACTAGTCATAAAAAAAATATATATAATTAAAATTAAAATATATAATTATTAATTAAAATATATAATTATTAATTAAAATATATAATTATATGTAACTTTTTTAAAAAAAAATGGGCCATCTTTCCCGAAGTGTGAGGAAAAGATAAGATACATAGTATTTATAAATAAATAATGAAAATGAAAATACACACACACACAAATTATTGGTTACATTATAATTTATGTGCCTTTATCATGTATGTAATATTGATTACGGCAGTTTAACTGTAATTTATTCGACGTTACAGCAGCTTTTAGTGAACACACGTAAAACTTTGCAGGCAATCGAAAGTAAAAACATTGTATAATTTTCACAATATTGTTATTTTAAATAGTGTACGCACATAAACTACTGTAAATACTGATTATCTTTAAGAATGGTTACAAAAATGCACTATTAAACAATTATTAGTGAAATTACAGTCTATGGCCATCTTTTCCGTATGGCCATAATACTCCCATTTACCCTAAGTAGCACACGATGAAATGTATTTACTGCTACGAAAAAATTATTTAACAAATTTTGAGTGCCAAGAGTATTTTGAATGTGTTTGTATATTATATATTTATTTATTTATCTACAAAATGAAGTTTGGTTATTTATATTCAACATGTTTACAAGCAACTGCAAAAATCGTTCCTATTTGTGTGACGAGGTGAACCTCGCCACCATATAATTATTATCCGATACTATTATTTTTTATTTTTTATTTTCTGTTCTTTATTATTTAGTATTATTATTTATGTTGTATTATTTTCTGTATTATTTTCTTATGTCTTTATTAATATACGTATAGATATCACCGCACGCGCCCACCATAATTCCGCCGACCTTCCTATAATTCCTATCATTCTGCGGATCGACCGATAGTTTAGGGCGCGGAATTATAGAATAAGAACGCATGTGTACAGAGGAGTGCACCGTATCGTTCCGCTCTAAGGGAAGGTTTTCTCTGAAATTTCTCTTCTGGTTGCTTCTACTACCGCGCGCCATACTTTTTCGATCTCCGCCAGCGGCCCGAGATTGAAGAAAAACGGCGCGCGGTAGTAGGGACAGTCGGAGGAGAAATTTCCGAGAAATACTTCTCCTGGAGCGGAACGATATGGTGCACTCCTCTGTGCAAGAGAAGACCTGTGCCGGTGCGACACGGCACAGGTGCGTGACACGGCGCGCAAACAAGCGCGTACCGCACGCCGATCCCGGGCGGACCATAGGCCGCTCCAGGCAGAGATGCCAGTTTGCGGACGCTAGCAACATGCAGCAGCAAGTGGAGGGGACACGCACACAAGCGAGTAGCCACTCGCCGAGGCGCTGAGCGCACACGTACACGGCTGTTTGCCTGTGTGCGTTTCATCTGTGTATCCCCTCTACTTGCTGAGCATGCTGCTAGCGTCCGCAAACTGGCATCTCTGGCTCCAGGGTATATAAACCGAGCGATTTCGGAAGTCGGGACCAGTGATGAAAGATCGAGCCGGCTAGCACCAAGAGCACCGAGGTGGTGGGAGCCACTGGGAACACGCACACAAGCGAGAACCGCTGTCCGTGTGCGTGACGTCACGCCCGGCACTTCGGCTCGTGGAAGAGTGCGGACATATCATGTTCCGTCTTCTTTCCACCAAGCCCGCTAGAAGGCAAGACACGTTTACGTTGCGCGCTTGTTGCGTATGACAACGTAAAATGCTTTTCAAAGATTTATAATCTTAGAAAAAATACATAATATTATTGATAATGATAGGATTGATTAAACATCTTAAGATGCATTTATTATTATATTTTTAGTAATGAGTTAACTGTGATAATTTCAAAGTTTTTAAATGTTTTTTAATATTCTAAAACCTTTGAAAATATTACAGTTACCTCATTACTAAAAATATAATAATAAATGCATCTTGAAATGTTTAATCAATCCTATCATTATCAATAATATTATGTATTTTAAACTTAATAAATAAATAAATAAGTCTTAAGCCGGTATTCATAGTCGGATCTTGTATTTAAGATCGTCTTAAGTTTATCTTCAGATTATGTGCGAATAATTTTATTGGCCGCAGAGCATCTGAAGATAAACTTAAGACGATCTTAAATATAAGATTCGACTATGAATACCGGCCTTAGAGAGCCGTTCGCAGAATGTTGTGCGGAAAATATGTCTTATATGTGTGTACACATATATAAGTAAATTCACGTTTTTCACGTGTGTTTTTCGAATTGAAATTTCAATTTTTAAATTCATATAGGATGCTAGTTTTGCATCTCATATATGATAGACCCCGAATACCCCCCCTAATTGATTTAAAATGTTGCGAAAAAAACTCCTCAGCCAGGAGTCGAACTTGGAATCTCCAGTTTTCCGGGCCAGGTAGTGAGGTTATAGAAGGAAACTGTATAAGAAAAAATTTATGCTGAATTTTGACATTCCAAAGAACAAGCGCCAATCCTTAGCACAATTTACTTATTTTTGTAGAAGCATTTTAGATTTAATGAAGTAAATACGACACCAAACGTCATAGGACAAAGTCGGTTTATAGGTCTCTATAGTCGGTATCCAGTACCCTCTTAATCTGCGCGAATCATTCCGCGCCGATCAATCCGAATCCGCTGCGTTAGAATTTAACCAACAAACCGAATACAACCGTTGTAAATACCGTATTCAAGTGAATAAATCTTAACTACATTTCAGCATTAAAAAATAACCGAGTGTCGCAATTTCATGCTTTCCCCTTCCCGATCCTTGGCGCCGACCGAGCTGTCCGGCAAGCGGAAGACCGGGCGAAGCCGATAGAAAATCGGCTCCGTTACATTTGAGTAAATCGTCTCCCAGAAATGAGAGAAACGGGGCGCCTGCGGAAACTTGTCTCTCTCATTTTCTCGAGTTTTTTTGTTAGAGTATTTTGATCTCTGATCGATAAATGAGCGGGTAAAATATCGACGTATGATAAGATCAGACAAGCGGTAAGAAGCTCAGTCGATACTTCAAGATTCGTGTTTACCTGGATAAGAGCTAAAGAACACTGACAATGAGGACGAAAGCGAGAAAGCGATATTTATCTTATATGTATTAAAGGAAATTGAGAGAAAGAGAGAAAACAACAAGTGACATTACTGGATGAAGTTCGTACTTCATACGCATGTGTGTGCGCCTTTCAGATTTGGTAAAACTACTACGAAATAAAAGTTGGTCATAAAAAGTCGCGCTACTTTGTAAGTAGATTTCGGCATTTGTCATACATTATACGCAATAAGTTAACATGTTTTGTTTTTGGCCAGAACATTGAGAAGAAACAACTTTAACATGTGGCGGCTGAACAGATAAAGACGTGTGAAGTCTCAGTTGAAATACGTTTTGCTTGATAGTTTTTCACAAAGAACAATATTATAAAACGATTGTAGAGGAAAAGCTCATCTTATAGTATACAATAAAATACGCGTGTTAAGGATAGAAATAAACAAAACAACCTCCTTTATGTTGCGACTGGAGATCCGAAAGCGTCGTATAAATTCGTTCTGCGCATGTCATCTCATATTCCGTCAAGTTGCTCCAGTCGCGTTTGGTTCGCGATCGTCCGAAGAGTTTAGTAGCAAGTGTGCTGTTGCCGCACACTTCGTTTATTGTTCATTTCAATTATTTTGTTTCGACAAATGTTGTATTTTGCGAACTCGTCGTTCGGCCGCGTTCCGTTTAGTTTTTAAGTTTTTTGAGCGACATAAAAGAAAAATGAGAAAGAGACAAAAAAAAGAAATAAGCAAGAGATTCGCTGTTGAGCAGTGCCGTCGAGAAATACGCGCGTGTTGATCGCAAACGTTGATCTTAAAAACGAAGACGAGAGGGGGTGCATCATGTGTCCGCATCGTGTTCCTCGACGATGCCTCGACGAGTCGACCATTGTGTCCACGAGTAAACGGGAAATCACATGTCAGTGAAGCTATTCTTGCCTCGCGCATTTCCACGTTCAAGTTTTCCGCATATAAATACTCATATAAAGTTTCGTTAAGACGCGATTAACGTTTAAGTGAGTTTAAATGCCCGCCATCAATTTTCACGCGTGAGAACGTGCGGGTTTCTATGTATCGGCGGTGTTTCGTCCGGCAGTGGTGATCGCTATTACCCCCTTACGTCCACGAGAGAGATCTGGTTTGTATATGTATTTTCTCTACAAAGATAAAAAAAAAAAGTGTTTAAATAAAAGCCACCGCGCAATCATCGTTCGAAGTGAGTAGACGGTTAAACATTTTTCAGCTAACATTTTCTGTTTGCGAAGAAGTTGGTTTTTTTTATTTTTGCATATATGTCTTTTTAATATATGTCCGGAGCACGTTAGGATTTTATTGTTTATATTTTACATCGAGTGCGCTTAAAGATTTCGCATTTTGCACTGCGGAAGAGAATCAGACCAGAAAATCAAGTTAAATAAAGAAATGTAAATCAATTAAAAGATAAGGCACTTAAAGTCCGAACGCTGCAGAATGTCCGCGCAATACGCTTGAGTGCAATAATTAAATTACACAATTCTTAATTCGGTTTTATCTTTATTTGTTCGGTTGTTATTACCTTTTGACTTCTGTCTGCTCTTAATAGATTTGCAAATCGATTAGTTTGATTGTTTATTTAATTATTTTTTTACAAAGAGAACACACACAAGAGAGAGAGAGAGAGACAATAGCGGAATACGACAGTGCGGGAAAAGAATTTGAAGTAACGCACACATGAACATATTTTTAACTCGTCATTATACGCCAATTATAAATTTTAATGATGCGAAATCTCTGACATCTTGTTGGCAAATTTTTTTTTCAACCGCGTTTACTTTGTAAGTATGGAACGGACAAAATACAAATCCAAAGAAGGACGTTATATATTTATTATTCCAAGAAACTTCCGTCGGAAGAGGAAATTCCTCGGAAACGAGCGGTCTTGTTTATGTTACGCCGTTGCAACCGCATCATGCATACGCGTATTTGCCGTGGCAGAGAAGCCGCGCGTTCGCACTCGGCGCGAGAGAGCGGGGCAATATTTTCGTCTAATTTACGACGGGTGGTTTAGTTGCTTGGGAAACAGTGCGCGTCTTAACTCGATAAATTTGTCTAACGACGGGCCATCATCGGGAGAGTTGCGAGGGTCATCGACAATGCGCCGCGTATTCATAATAATAACTCGAACGAGTGTGGTAACGCGTAATAATGCACACCGCTTTTGCACACCGCGCATTGTTCTTAATAGCTGGTCGTAGCTGTTTTCTACACGAGGCCGATGGGTTTTTATCTGATCGCACTTCATTGTTAAACGAAGTTGAATTACACAAGTGTGATTACGATAAAGATACGCGAGACGGAGCGAAAGATGTAACATAACATCGATAATTATTAGAAACAGGAGATGTTACACACATGTAGATCTTGGGTGGATTCTATGAAGGAGCGCGTTGATATATAGCGAGATACGTACATATTATGATTCCCATGTTCGATTCGATCGTACTTCGCGGAATTGGCGCAAACATAACAACCGGAGTAATTGCAACCAATGGAGTTTCTTCATTGTTTTTCTATCGAAATATATTTTGTTGCAATATTAACACGTACGTCTGTATATAAATATCGACTGGACGTGAACTTTCGACATTTGTCGCTGTATCATTCACCTCAAATTAATACGACGAATATATATGTGTATATGTGAATACACACACACATACGCACATATACGCGAAAAATGTCATATAATATGTATCCTATTAATTTATCTCATGTCATGCACGCCTGTAACTTGTCCTTGAGATATGCGCCGAGTACGTACGCTGTAATAGCTAAGACGACTTAACTCTACTTTAAACAGCCATTTGTCAAGCAATATTTAGTAATATTTATCAACGTCACAACTGTGCGCATATTCACGCGTGAAATATTCTGGGGTCGAAGTTACTCCGCGAAATTACGCCCGTGGCACTCTCTCTTGGTCATGGGAGAGGAATAAAATATGGCCCGTATTTTATGATCGACGCGCGGCCCGCGATATATGCACTCTCGTACGTGTGTGTACGCGCAATGCGCGTTTTTATATCGTTCGCAAAACTGCAGTAACCATCTTACCGCAGAACGAATGGCGCGAAAGAACACGCGAGGTTGGCGCGAAGAATTGGCGCAAGCAATTTTTCAACAATTGAAAGTTCTGTTTGCAGTGCGATAGTTCTACAATTCTTGATGGCATCAATAGTTTCGGCAATTTAGCCAGAAAAAATCGGAAAACTTACAAGATTTTAGTTAAAGTAGACGGGCAAGAGAGAGATTGATTGATCGATTGATTGATTGATTGCTTTGTTTGTTGGGCGCTCTCTGGAAATAATATCCTCTAAAGCGCCGAGTGATTACATTAAATGTAAGACTAAGAATACATATAAAGTGTTATAATAACAATAAGAATAATAAATTCAAAAGTATGTAATAATAATGAAATATAAGAAAACAGTGAAAAATGACAATGAATAATTAGAAAATAGTAGACAGAAATAATGAAAATATGATAAAATAAAATAAAGTGAGAGAGAATAACAAAAAAAAAAAATAAAAAATTACAAAATTACAAAAATGCGACATACAAATATAACGTTCATAAGCTAGCTACTTAAGATACAATACAATATTACCGTACTATTTCAATATTATATATAAATGTAATATATTGATAATATTATTGTAATTTTGTATTATAATATCTAATATTACTAGTATATTGCAATGTTACTGTGATATTTTGTAATTTTTTATTTTTTTGTTATTCTCTCACTATTTTATTTTATCATAGTTTTATTATTTCTGTCTACTATTTTCGAATTATTTATTATCATCTTTCTTATATTTCATTATTAACCCTAACATAAAGAAAGGAAGTAACGCTCGCAATAACAATAATAAAACGAATAAAGGTCAAACTCGAGCAAGTAAAGGGATGGTTGAATACATTCAATAAAAAATTATTGCATGAAATAAACGAAACGTTTTGTTCCCAATTTGAGACTTCCTCAGTCGCAATAAATACAAAATTATATATACGCAAACAATTTAATTTGAGATTAACATAGTGAAAAAATTAAAGTAAAAAAGTACGTTTTTTGAAAAATTATTCTTTTGTCGCAGGACGTACGCTCCAATTGTACAAGATAGTCATGCGTTACATAAAATAAGCTGCAAAGTTGTCTACAAGAGATGAAATTGTTGAAATCAGTAAGTCAGATAATCTCGATGTTTTGAGTCAACCTTGTTTTGTTGACTTTTACTTGCTCTAGTTTGATCTTTATTCGCGCGCGCGCGCGTTTTATTGTTTATTAACCCTAAAATGATTGTAATCAGTTTCTCCGCGTATAATTGTTCCATCTGCTGATATTGTTCCAGAGTTTGCCGAAGGAACATCTAAAACGCTTGTTTGTACATGTCTGCTCTACAGTGAGGTATAACCAGCAGATTACTCAGAAATCGAGTATTACGAGATGACTCTTCGCATCTAAAAGTAAAAGTGTCAGAAAGAACTTGAGGTCTCCTTGGACTCGAGAATTTGATATAGAAGGCAACCAATAAAAAAAAGAGAAAGAGAGAGAGAAAGAGAGAGAAGTTAACACCTCGTATTTTTGATCTGGAAGTTCGCTGAGCAAATCGTCGGGATAGACAGTTAACATCATCAGAAAATTGTAGAACTACTGCGCGCGCAAATAGAATGTTATGTCAGAACGTTCGTTTTTTGACAATGTTGTGCCAACTTTACACCAACGCACGTCAAGAAGAAATGCCCGCCGTGACACAAATTCTCTTCAAAAACCCGTTATCTTTATGTCGCCATGTCTATTTTCTCGTCGTAATTAGTTCACTCGATTATATATGTAACGAAGGAGGCGTGTGTGCGACATATCTTCTCCGTACATCGTAAGAACCAACGATATCATCGATATACGTTTGATGCCTAGACGTGCATCTTGGGAACGGAACAAGCCGAGTGTAGGGAACGTGTTCCTTCGCGTTTCTCCTCTCACACGTCTCGCATCTCTTCCTGCAATCCTCTCGCATCTCTCGCACGGTTAATGGCCACGTACTCGAAAGCATTATCGAATGACCTTCCTCCTTCGGCTCCTTCTCCCGCGCTCTATCTTCACTTTCCACGAGAGAATGTGTCCCTACGTGCGTTCAGGCGTCGCATACACACAGACATGTATTGAAACGGACATTCTTTTTCCGAAGTTGCGAAAAAGAGCGAAAAATCTGGCGTTTGGTAGAACAAATGTCGTTTATCGAACAGCAACGTAGATAACGTAGATAAAACAGATTTTGTTTCATTTTTATTATAGCTTGTTTAATTTTACAGATTTTTGAACATAATAACCTCTTGCGTACAGACATGGGTCTCTTAGACCAATTCAAAAATTTCAAACCGGTGTCTCTAATAAAAATGAGTTTTTTTTTTGGTATGCATATATCTTCAAAACTACTAGAGATTTTTTTCCATTTGTTTTTTTTTATCAACGCAGAATCGTTCAAACATTCAATTCAAAAAAGAACAAAATTGAAAAAATATTGATTTTTCGTGGAGTTATTTGATTTTAAAGTCGCGTAAGTCTCACAGTTTATATAACTAGTAAGTCGGTTTTAGAGTCTGTATGCGAAGGGTTAATTATCTAATTTTTAGTTTTATCTAATTTGAGGTAGAATTAATTAAATTGTTTTTATTTTGATTAGCCGCGACGAAAGATCCGGCAAAGAAGACTGAATTGTATTGTACATATTAATGTTTATTGAATGGCGAACTGATGGAATAAATTTGAATTAAATTACAATACATCTATTTTTTGCTCACAAAAGACTCTTCTTAATCAGTTTGGTTTTTTTAGATCAAAGAAATTGAATTGTTGCGCTAAATGTTGCAAGATGCAAATAAGAATAGATGCAAGCTGAACTTTTACATTTATACGATTTTTCTTACATATGTGTATCAGTACAGTTTATTTTCGGACTGTCTTTTTATTCATTCGCATTCGAATACCTCCCGCTATAAGGGTGTCGAGTGAATACTGAATATTGTTTCGAGGACCGACACGTCTGGAATTTTATTAAATCGTAGGATTTTGCATATCTGTCTCGCAAACGGTACAA